AAGCTATTTGTTATATACAAGGGGTTCAATAACTATCAGCTATTAGTATGATTAAGAGCCGCTGGCTTTTCAGTTCATTTCTTTTTAAGGAACATTCATTAAAGTGAGGAAACAAATACACTTATGAATTAAAGGGGAATAATCTACTTCAAGCTTTACAATTTTTCTCAACTGATTTCCTCAGTAAGACTTAAAAAAAATTAAATACTGTAGGACTGAGGAGCATAACTTCTTCATGATTAGTCCACTGAACATGAGAGAAAGAGAAACCAAGGGTTGTAATAAATGGATAGAAGAAATTACTTGGTGTTCTTTAGGGACTGTTGCACAGGTCTGTCATATGTAACGGTGTGAGAGACAGCCTACGGAGATAAACATCCAAGAAGAGTTTGCATATGATTCTGAAGTCTACTTGATGGTGAAATGTCTTGCTGATGTGAATAACTGAGTAAAAAATCTAACAAAGAATTTGTTGTTGACAATGGTGGAATTCACTTAAATCAACAAATAATAATTGAGTAGTTCCAATGGGGGAGTTCTGCAAGGGAAAATCAAAGGGTAGTGCCTGGGGGTTTATAATCTAGGGGGCAGGTTAAGACAGGTAATACAAAATATTACAAAGCAATAAGATAGAAGTAATAGTTAATAGTAGTATATTCTCACTGAAAGTAAGCTATTATTTGGGAGGCAGTGTGCTAATTGTATTCTGAGTACTATAACATGTACTCATTTCAAATGTAGAAATGCTTACATCACTTCCATTGTATAGATAAGCAAACTGATGCTGAGAGGTTAAATAATTTGTCCAACATCACATCGTGCATATAAGGTAGAGTCAGGACTCAAATTAGAATGTATTGCATTCCAGAGCAGCTGTTTTAAACTACTTAGATATGTGTTTCAGTGCAGAGGCACTTTCTGATAGGTTTCAGAGGAAGAGGGAGCAGGATCATGAAGGGAAGCTGGAATCAGGAAAATCTTCCTGGAGGAGGTTGCATCTGAGATGGAACTGAGAAAGGCCAATGGGTCTTCAATCAAAACAGGCAGGCAAGGCCGAGTGGCGCGATGGTTAAGAACTGGCTTGGGACACCAGAAGGCCCCGGTTCGGATCCCACATATGAGGGCCAGTGACACTGCCCTCCACAGCTAAGATGCTGAACAACAGCTCAGCCTGGAGCTGGGCTGCTGTGAGTTGCGGGCAACGGCATAGGCTGCAGCCCCTGTGGCAGTGGGTTGCCATGGGCTACCGCGTGTAGCCAGCAGCCAGCGTGAGCAGCCAGCAGCCACTGTGAGCGGCCGTCCAGAAGCCGGCGACTGATCTGCCTCGCCCAGGAAGAGCGCAATGATGGTGCCAACTTGGGCCAGTGAAGCAACGTCCTCCACAACTAGACTGAAGAACTAAAGGACAGCAACTTGTCTGTTGCCCTTACCCCAATTCCCCAATAAAAATCTTTAAAAAAAATTAATAAAAACAACAGGCAGGCAAAGATGCAGAGAGGGCATGCACACAGAGGAAGCAGTCTGCAATGAGGCTGTGAACCAGGATGGTGTAGGTACACAAAATGGCTGTAATATTAAACGGGGGAGTGGGGAGGAATGGAGCAGAAGATGGACAGAGGGGAAAAAGAGAGGGAGAGAAGGGGGAGGGGAAAGAAAGAGAGATGAATTGATTGATTGAAGTGGGTAGAAGATAAGGTTGAACAATTCATTTGAGATCACCTTTCAAAGTAATATGTCAAATTCTATGCTGAAAAATTCACACTTAATTTTGTAGAAAATGGAGTCACAAAAGGTTTTAGAACTAAGGAACAGTAAGATAAATGCTGTGGTTTAGAAATATATACCTGGCAGTGAAATGTGGGATCAATTAGAAAACAGAAAGACAAGAGAGAGATTGGTACTTGAGACAGGAATTAGAAAATTTTCACACTCATCTATCTGACAAGCAATAGGGCTTGGACAGTAATCATAGGAATACAGCAAGAAAACATGGGGAAAGGGTCAAAATCTTCTGAGATAGCCTGTGCCAATAATTTGCCAAATGAATGGATATCAGAGGCAAAGAAGAAAATGGGATAAAATGTGACTGCAGTTTTAGGCCTGGAGAAAGGTCAGCCTGGAGGAGGTTAATTTGGGAAGTGTTAAGAAATAAGGTGAAGTCAGGATTGAGGGAGAGTTAGAGATGAGGTGAAAGTCGTTTGCACCTATCACTTGCTATTTAAAGAGAAGCCTAAAGAGTAATCTCCTATTTTAAAAAACCCACCCAAGAGAAACCTCTTGCCTCATGGACTTCTTAAGATCAAAGTACATTGAGTGGTGCTTTATCGGAGGTGCATATTGTAAGACTATTTGCAGAATACCCTCTAAGTGTTATTTTTCTGTAAATAAAGATGTTTGTTAATAATGGGTAAGCAGTTAATAGTTATGTTTACGATTTATGGAGCAATGTGTTTCCTCCATTGTCATTAACTCAACAGATATGTCCCAAGACCTGCATTAGATGTTAGGAACCCCTCGGTGATCCATAGCCTTGTTCAGAGTGACAAATAGTTATAACAAACTGCAGTATGTGTGATAGCGATAAGTGCAGTAGCAATTGATGTTTATCCAGCCTTCCATTTAGCTTCATGCTAAGTGAAATTGCCTGTAATGTATCTCATTTAACCCTCACAATAATCTATGTGTTTATTATATCCATTTTCCATATTAAAAGAAACATTTTAAAGAGGTTAAATAACTAGTCAATGGTTACATAGGTTATACATGTTCAAACTCAATGAAATCCAAAGGGTTTGGAAGGAGTGGTTTAGAAAGTACATCAGTTTATCTATCTGTAAAATAGAAGTGATGTAAGTATTTATACATTTGACATGAGTACATGTTATAATGCCCAGAGTGCAAACAGCACTGCCTCCCAAATAACAGCTCACATTTTATCCAGTGGTGATATGTGGAATCAATTAGAATAAAGAGAGATTGATACACAAGAGAAGAGTGATTAGGTAATTAAAATAGTCTAGCTGAGAGGTAACAAACGCTTCAGCAATGGCTATGAGAATTAAAACATAAGAACAGGTTCAAGACATTTGGGGATGAACTCTGCACATTATACTCATATACTTAGCTTCTACCTCATCTGCATAGAAGCGAGCCCAAAGTCCTATGCTTGGGTCAAGCTCTGTGCGCTATCAGGCCCTTCTTACCATGGGAGAACACTGACCATGTAACTCAGCTGTAGATGGCTTCATCATTTCTCTTTGTTTCTTCATCATCCCATGCCAGCTAGAACCAGTGTCTCCTCCTAGAATTGTGATCTCCAAGCCTTCCCCTGCTAGCTGTGCATTCCACACTGTGAAGATCCTTCTCATTGTCCCCCAACCCTAGAATATGCAAATGCTGGGAGTTTGTACTCATTCTGCTTTCTGAACTTGCCCTCAAACTAATTTCAGCTCATCTGCCTTTACTGGTGAGGACCACATGACGTTTCCCAGCATGAACTAAAACACCAAGGAGGGGGCACAAAGCAGGTGACGCTGGAGTCAAAAAATTTGGGGACAAGAGTGATGGTTGGGTCTCTAGAAGTTAAATTGTTCTGCATTTTGCAAATCCTTAGCCTACTAAAGATGATAATCAAGATAACTCATACGAAAATGTTGTTTTGATAATCAAATGATGCATATACACATATACTTGAATTAAAGAATAGTATTTCTTAAAATTGCTATACTTCATTTTCTCAATTCCTTGTACCCAAGGAAAGCTTAGCTAATTTGTTTATGCAGCCATCGACCAAATAATTGTTCACTCTATGACAGCTATCCACATAACATTTAGCCAAGATGTTAGCAAACTTTTCAAAAAGCTGACAAAAAACAATGAAATTAAAGTCAAACAGAATAAGAGTATTCTATTCATTATGCCTACCTCAAAAAACTATCTTATCAAGCTTCTGAAAAGACAATGCCCTGGAGGTTTTCTGTACCAACGTTTTAATAATGTGCAGTACATGAATGAAAGAAACAATCTATAGAAAGAGTACCTATGCCATATGGCTATAAATGATAAGCTTGAGAAAATTCCACAAAGTAAAGCAGAGTGATAGAAACTGATCACACATATTTTTTAAAGCTAATTCCATGTAAAATGCTGGGTACCTATTAGTAACTAGACTGAATTAAAGAGATATGTTGACTAAATGAATAAATGAATGACAAACTTCAGGAGCATCACCTTCAAGTGTTAAAGCCAACAATCTGTTAAATATGCAATTAATTTTCTTTATGAAACATTGGAAGCAACTTGGGAATAATGGTGGTGATGATGACATAGATGATAACAATGGGATGCTCAACAGCAGCAGATACTCATAGGACTGGCTCGGACCCAGGCACTGTTCAACGTGCTTTACATAGATTAGCTCATTTCATCTTTATACCAATCCTCTGAAGAAGGTTTTAATATTATTTGTTTTACAAACCAGAAATAAAGGCAAAGAGGGATGAGTAACTTGTTTCAGTGCTAGAGCTAATAAGCAGCTGAGCTGGGATTCGAACCAGTTAGGGCAGAACTGGAACTGAACACAGAGCAAAGGAAGTCCTGGTGAACTTGAGAGCAACTGACTTCATAGAATGAGCTAGTCACATTACAAACATGAAAAATCCTGGCAGGTAGGCTGTTTTCAGTTTATAAACATAGAGTAAAATCCTGTAAGATTGTTAAAACACAATGCAAAGCAATACTCAAAGAGCTACCGTCAAAGTGAGACATTTAACCACAATGAACCCTGACATGTTCATTTGAAAGCAATTTCAAAATCCAAGTTGCAGAAGAGTTGGAAGGATTGAGGCACATTTGTGTATGTGCATCCATATATATATGCTTGTCAGGAAGTTCTCATAAAGAAAACAAGAGAAAAGAGCAAGTAATTATTTAGACTAGGGACAGGGTTCACTCCACTATTCTACCTACTTTGATCTTCCCTATAAAATAAAAAATAACTATAAACTATTCAAGAAACAAACATCGAATTGAAATAAAATATTCTATTCACATAAAGAGAATACCTCAATGCATCCTTAGTTCTTGGCGATGTCAATAATTCCGTCTGTACACCATTCATAACTTCTCCATCTTCTAAGTTCTGTGTGGAATCCTGCGGCGAAACAAGCCCATAAGCATGTGGATACTATGCATATAGAATTGAAAATATGAATACAATGTCTCAACATGGGAGAATAAATGGTTTTACTCTGCACATATACAGTATGCTCCAATTTCTCTGAAGACTGGAAACAGGTGTTAATTTTTTCAGAGCTTTCAATGTTCTTCCCTCCCATTTGCCTTCTGAAATACTCAAAAGGGCCATTTACACAAGGAAATATGTTAAGAGCTTTGGAATACATCATTTAGCTTCCTGCTACTCAACTATACGTTTTGGGGACTGAAAGAAAGGGGTACCAAAGGGAAGGTGCCATAGACAGGTGGTGATGTATTAATTTTAATGTACTGTACTTGCTCACACCCCCCCGGTGACACTAAAAATATAAAGGAAAGCCAAATCCATGGGAAAAAATGTTGCCTGGCAAGGTCTCTTCTGTTAAAAGTGTAATAAAAATATTGCAAAAGAAAGAAATCTGGAGCTCTTGGTTTGTTATGAGACTTTGATTCTGAGGATGAGCTTCACAGAGAAACTACTATTAACCATTTAATTTCTAAAATGGCAAACACTCCTGTATTACAGAGAGGTAAGAGAGTGAGAGAGGGCCTTCAGCCCAGGACACAGGCAAATTGAGTTGTATGTTACACAGAGGAGAGAATGGATTCTAGAAAGCACACCTGCTATAGATTCCCATTTATGTAAGGCATTCGTTCTGTTAGGCTTTGGATCTGTACTTTAATAAAGTAATTCTGCAGATACACTACTCTGCAGAAGCAGAGTCGCCAATCAACGGTGTTAGTCAGGGACTCAGGTTTCAATGAAACAACAAACCACACAGAGAAAGGCCCATTATCAGCAATCACACCTGTAAACAGAGCATCCGTGGATCTGAATGCACCGTTTGAACAACAGAAAAGGACAATATATGAGTTAAGAGTTGGCCATCACAGAATTAGGTTAATATCTCGAAAGAAACAATAGACACCAGCCATAACTCAAGATGTTTGTAATAGTGGATTGAATGAAAGAGCAAACACGTTTCAGTTTTAGATGGAGTAGCAACATTTCACGTAGGGGCTGGTAGTTTTGTGAAGGACTTCGTCTACGTTGATTTTTTTTTTCTTAGTATGTTTTCTCCTCTCCATAGGGATAAAGAAAGGGAAGAAAACCCATAAGGTTAAAGAATACTTTTTAGTTTAAGGCACTGAATCTTAAAATATGAACGTCTTCAAAAGCTTTCAAACATTCACATTATTATGAAGGACTAGATATATGCTGACAGAGAAAAGAGACAGGGTTGGGCAGAGTACAAAAATACTTAGGAAGACAATTTAACAAAACGTCTGCACTTGTGACTATCACACATGTCAGAACATTCAAGGACTGTTTATGTCAAAATCAGTAACTTTCTTAAATGCCTCTCTTACACAAGAGGTAGTACCATGAAGGGAGAGGGTGTATCTAGTCCTCTAGATATTAAGCACATGGCACACAATGTTTATTTAATGAATGCTAATAAATGAGCCAAGTGATAGTGTATTAGTTTCTAATACTGTTTAATACATTACCCCAACATTTAATGAATTAAAAAATACAAACATTATTTCTCAGTTTCGAAGCATATATTTATGATTTATACAATTTAGAAGCAGCTTGTCCGGGCAGCTCTGGGTGGAATCTAATGAAGAAGCAGTCAGGAGGCGAGCAGGGCTGCAGCTGCGATCATCCGAAGGCCTGACTGGGGCTTCAAGACCTACTCTTTCTTCATATAAAAGCCTTAAGATATAATTCACGGAACATTACGTTTCTCCCTTTAAAAAGTACAATTCGGTCCTTTTTAGCTTACTCAGAGTTTTGCATCCATCACCACTCATTTTAGAACCATTTCAAAACCCCCAAAAGAAATTCCACACCTATTAGCCGTTACTTCCCATGCTCCCTGTCACCCCTACAGCCCCTGACAATCAACCTGTTTTTCGTCTCTACGTATCTGCCTATTATGAACATTTCATATGGACAGAATCATGAGATACGTGGCTTCTATCACATAGTACAATGTTCTCAAGGCTCATCCGTGTTGCAGCATGTATCTCTATTTCATTCCATTTTATGGCCAAATGATAATCCACTGTATAGCTACACCACATTTTGCTTGCCCATTCATCACTTGATGGGCATTTGTTTGCATTTTTGCTGTTTATGAATAACGTTACTATGAACACTTGAAATAATGGTCAATTATAAAATAACGTTGCTAAGTAAAGAAGTTCTTGTGTAGACATATGGTTTCAGTTCTCTTGGGTATATACTTAAGAGTGGAATTGTTTTGTCATATGGTAACTCTATGTTTAACATTTTGAGAAACTGCTATACTATTTCTAAAGTGTCTGCACAATTTTACATTCCCATCAGCAATACGTGAGGGTTCCAATTTCTCTTCATTCTTGCCAACACTTGTTATTTTCGTTTATTTTCAAAATAATTTTAGCTATCTTTTTGGATGTGCAGTGGTTTTTGATTTGCATTTCCCTAATGACTAATGATTTGCATTTTTCTAATGACTAATGATGTTGAGTATCCTTTCATGTGATTATTGAACATCTGTATATCTTTAGAGAAAAGTCTAATTATTTGACTTTTTATTAAGTTACAAGAGTTCTTTAAATACTCTCTATATGAATTTCTTATCCTAGATGATTTGCAAATACAGAGGGTGCCAAAAAATGTATACACATTTTAAGAAAGGAAATAACTATTAAAATTGTAATACTCAATATATACCGATAACAAAAGATGAATACAAGTCACATTTGACTTCTGCAATTACAAGAGGTGCTCAAAGTGGTTACCATCAGCATCCAGACACTTCTGATTACGGCGAACTACTGTTTGAGCAATGTTGACCAGTGTCCACTTGTAGACATTTTTTTTGGCACCTCCAGTTTTTTGCCCTATTCTGTGGGCTATCTTTTCACTCTCTTGATGTACCCTTTGAAGCATAAAAGCTTTTAATTTTAATGAAGATCAACTTATCTATTTTTTCTTTGTTGCTTGTGTTTTGGGGTTGTATCTAGGAAACACTGCCTAATCCAGGTCACAAAGATTCACTCCTATATTTTCTTCTAAGAGTTTTATAGTGTTAGCTCTTACATTTAGGTGTATTACTATTTTGAGTTAATTGTTGTGCACGGTGTGAGGTAGGGGTCCAACTTCATAAGTAGCATGTGAATATCCAGTTATGCCAGCACCATTTGTTGAAAAGATTCTTCTTTCCCAATTGAACTGTCTTGACGCCCTTTTCAAAACTCAACTGACCAACACTGTAATGGTATTTCACTGATCTATATGTGTAGTCTTATGCCAGTACTACATGGTCTTGATTGTCATAGCTGTGAACTAAGTTTTAAAATCAGGAAGTTTGAGTTTTCCAAATTTGTTATTTTTGTTTTTTTTTGTTTTGGCTCTTCTGGGCCCCTAGCACTTCTATGTGAATTTTAGAATCAGCACATCAATTTCTGCAAAAAAGCCAGCTGGATTTTTGATAAGGATCACATTGAACTTGTAGATCAATTTAGAGACTTAGGCACCTTCACAATATAAAGTATTCTAATCCATGAACAGGTAGCAGCTGTTAAGTGAAATAAATATTCTTTTTGGCTTTGTAATTATATACATATATATCCAGGATAACTTCGAAAAAAATGGGATATTTGCTACAGAGCTTTAACTATCTATTTTTGCCTCTTTGCTCCATACTCCAAGGGGAACTTTCATGTTGATCCCTTGCCAAGGTAAGAAAATACCATACTTTTGTGTTCAAATCAACATTCTGCAAGGTGAAAAAGACTTTTTTTTCATTCTAGTTAGATGATAAGTAAAGATTCTACTTATGTCAACAACATACTTAATGTTCCAAGTATATGGAAATGTCCGTTAGAATGTGAAAGCAATATTGGGCCAATTGCAATGTAATAATCTGCTCAAGGGTAATTCTGAACTGACTAGTTTTAAAGCAATCATGTCAATAACTACAGACTTAGAAAGAACACACATATTCACAGACATACGTATATGTCTAAGACAAGAGTTGTACTATTTTAAACGTAGCATCAAAAACTCTACCTTGCCACAGCTATCACAAAGGGCAGTAACTATAGTTTATCATCTCAGCTAATGGGCAGTGTTTGTCACTTGGCAAAATCATTTCTATATATTGCAGTAACAGAATTCTTTGATATTCTCTGGAGACAGGGCAGGCAGACAGATGCTTAGGACATCCTACAAGGACACAAAGCCAATTCCGAATTTACTTCAACGACACTGAAGCAGTGCAGTATTGCAAGACTTACAGGCAAAGGCAACCTATTTCCTAACCGGGTCCACAAAAGCATGTTTTCCAAACATTACAAAATAACTGACAGACAAAATTTCAGAGCACTTAGAATTTTCCCTTACTAAATTAATTACATGGTGAAGAAAGGGTCAGAAAACAACAAATACCTAAACATAATTTTCTCATAGCTATTTAAATACATTTGAAAAGAACTCCTGTAAATGCATGACTTTCACATTTGGAAATAAAGGGACAAACGTACATGATTATGAAGAACTAGAGGTATAAACAACTGCTACGGAACGACGACTATCTTCAACTTTAGACTCGAGGAATTTTAATTATGTGATTTCAAATGCTCAAACTTGCCTCTAGAAAACACAAACGTTTGGAAAACTCTACACATAATTTTATTAAGAAAAAGATTACAATTCCATTTTTAATATTAACTTAATATAGAAGGATATGGTCAGCTGCTTTGAAATAAAGCTATTTCAAAATTTATTTTGTCTCTTCCTTTTGCCTGCATTACAATCCTTTGCTATCTGATACATTTCAGCAAGAGGTCGTGTCTTGCCAACCTGGCAGAGACCTTTACGAAGCTTGTCCTTCACCTCTTTTCTCAAAACAGGGAACCTATCATAAAAGGCTCTCACGACAG